ACTATTTTTGTTTCTTTCATATAGATAATTCTCAACATAACAATGAAGAGTAAGTATTTATTACATAAATTATAATATTTTTCTTTTATTTAGAGTAATCACAACTCCAAGAGGTAAAGTAAGCATTTATGTAAACTATTTGTTTCTTTCATTTAGATCGATTTTAAGATCACAATGAAAAGTGAGTACTCATTTATAAAATAATTTTTTTTGTTGGTTTAGAGCAATATTAACAACAAAAAGAAAAGTAAGTATTTTTTTATGTAAATTATTTTTTTTCTTTTATTTAGATCAATCTGAAAATGATCGACTTAACAAAACAAAGACGAAGTAACAATTGCTAATCATATCTACGATTCGAAGTCTTACAAATCTAAGCATAAAAGTAAATTGTCATAGGTTGCAAGTTGATTTAGTGAATCTATTTATTAAAAATCCTCTTATTTTTTTTATTTATATATCGAAAGTTGTTTTTGAGTGAAATGTAAAAGTTATTCAAAATTCTTCTCAGAAACAGTTAAATTTCGCTCAAAAAAAAAAAAAAATTCTCGATATCTAAATAAAAGAGTAAGAGGATTTTTTATTAAATAGATTCACTAAACCGATTTACGGCCTATGATAATTTACATTTATTCTTAGGTTTGTAAGACTACGGATCAATAGATTCGTACCCTGATAGTGCCGGTATACCGCCAGTTATTTTGTTACTACCGGCAAAACCGCCGGTAGAGCGCACATTATACCGAACGGTCTACCGTTGGTTTTTTTCCGGTTCGAATCACATGGGCGTAAATATCATAAGGCTCGATCACTTCTGTATAAACAAGAAAATTCCCATATGAAGAATCACGTCGATTATTTCATACAGTTACCGATGCAACAGACTATGAATTATATTCAAATAAAGATTATTTTTTTTTTGCAGAATGAGTCATAAATATCTTTACAATAAAAACTTGAATGTATTCACTGTGTTCGAAGATCTTGAACTGATTTTTTATCAATTATAGAAAGATATTCAAAGTGTTTTGTTTTCATAAGAAAATTATTAATGAACACTACTTTCAATTGTCAACATTCACTTCATTATATACTCTAACCTGTCACCAGTGGCGTACGCAGAAATTTTTCAAGGGGGGGCCCGCCATGGCACAACAAATTTTTTATCACGCGAAAATATTGTTTCCTGTACCTCCCTTCAGGACTTTTTCGTCTCAAGGGGGGGGGGGGGGGGGCCCGGGCCCCCCCCCCCCCCCCCCCCCCCCGCCCCCCCCCCCCCGAAAAAAAAAAAATTCTCGCGGCAAAAAACTGTCCCCGTGTGGCCCCGCTCTCATTGTAAAACCAAA